AAAATTTAATCCTGATTCTTGCCTTTAAGATCTCAACAATCACAAGAAAGACTACAATTAAGCACCTTTGAGGTTGCTGGATTCACGTCGTAAACTAAACAGTGTTCGACGAGCATTACCATTACCTAACGATTTAGGGCCCGACTAGTTCCGCATTGCTGCAAGATCTGAATCTCCTGACCCGCGCACCCGCCAACATTGAACACTTTACCCCTTTATGGTTATATCTCAATGAAATCGCTCGTCCAACGTCTCCCTTTTTCATGTATCGCGGAGTGACGTAATTTCGATACTGCTGGACATTCTAACAGCAACGACTCCTGATGGATTGGATTTGTTCCATAACCGTCATTCGCTCACCGCACGAACCCGTTCGAAGGCTGCCCAATTCCTGTCAGAGGCATGTCTCGTATCAGTCGGAACCGTTGCTTTTACATACGACTAACGAATACGACACATTCATTGGTTGAGGTCGTTAGAATACTGCCAGACCACAAGGCCGAAACGCTACTATTGACTGTGACTCATTCAAGGCCGACCAATGCAGTGCTTACAGTTGAGAAGGAAAAATGGAACTAAACTCTAGCCTCTACAAAAAATGCTAATTGAATATTACTATTTTGAACAAAATTGGTAACACTGAACTCAATTTCAAAAGATGTTTTGCAGATCCGCCTTTGCAGGGATATTAGATCGAAAAATTCCCTTTACAACCGTTGGAAATTTAACTTCATATTATAAACCGATCAAAAACGACGATTTTCGGCATATAGATCCCTTTCGGGATGCGCCGCGTATTCTTCTTCCATTGAGAATCTTAGAAACACTTGAATACGGCATGGCCTATACGACTTGCAGAGACCAGCCGCAGATGTAAAAATTGATATTTCCATCCTCTCAAGACGGTCTGATCCAAAATGACCAATTCCGGACGAATGGAAGGCTTACTAGACCGGTGCGAGGCTCAAACCGAGATTTGGCCCTGGGACCATGCACATGGGAAGTGGCACCACTTACAGTACGCCCGCCACCTCCGTCCTCTTCTCTCCCTTGGTAGTATAGTGGTCATTGTTAGCCCTGCTGGTTCTCGAACGGGTTCCAGTCTGCAGCACATATGACTAACCAAGTTGCATTGTTCGCAGGTTCAAAAGAACCTTTAAGCCAGCACTACTGGTGAATACTCCTCGGAAGATCAAGTATGCTGTATCATATCGAATTATTCAACTCTTGTAAAATTCATCTCATGAATGCTTGAAAAATGGTAAGTGGTTGATACTACTAAAGTTCATGAAAACTGCCATCCAAATTATCTCCATACATCTAATTCCTCCTTACTAGCCTCTAAACAAAAAATGCTCATTGAAATTAATTGGCTATTTTGAACAAAATCGGTCACACTGTACTCAATTCAAAAGATGTTTTGCAGATCCGCCTTTGCAGGGATATTAGATCGAAAAATTCCCTTTACAGCCGTTGGAAAATTTAACTTCATATTGTAAACCGATCAAAAACGACGATTTTCGGCATATAGATCCCTTTCGGGATGCGCCGCGTATTCTTCTTCCATTGAGAATCTTAGAAACACTTGAATACGGCATGGCCTATACGACTTGCAGAGACCAGCCGCAGATGTAAAAATTGATATTTCCATGCTCTCAAGAGACAGTCTGATCCAAAATGAGCCAAATCCGAACGAATGGAAGGCTTACTAGACCGGTGCGAGGCTCAAACCGAGATTTGGCCCTTGAACCATGCACATGGGAAGTCACCACTCTTCCAGTACGCCCACCACCTCCGTCCTCTTCTCTCCTTGGTAGCATAGTGGTCATTGTCTAGCTCTGTTGATTCCCGAACGGGTTACAGTCTGCAACACATATACAAGTTCTCACCTTCGCACCTACAGATCTCCCTCGTACATCTGTTGTCGAAGTGTGATTTCCACACGTGTCAAAGACTCACAACTGCCCCTTCGTCAGATTTTACTCGCAAGGAAACTAAGCATATTAAAGTGCACGACGGTCAGGGTTCTCGTGGAAATTTCCCATGGAAATATTCCTGAGATATTCCCTCGAATTCAAAATGATCGATACAGGGCAGAATATACATGAAAATTGCACTGTTCGCGGGATCAAAGGAACCTTCAAACCTAGCACTGCCAGTAAGTCCTCCTCGGAAGATCAGACATGCTATAACATATCGAATTATTTAATTCTTGTAGAATTCATCCCAATTCGTAGAAAATGGTAAGTGATTCATAACCATTGACGTTCACGATGCCTACCATCCGAATCCATATCTCTCGACAATATCCTCGCTAACGGATAATCAGAACTCTTTGAAAATTCGACACTTTCCAATTCATGTAATGTTCTGATCGCGCAAAAAGATTAACTTTCACTGCTTGGGCTTCAGCAAGGATCAAAAAGTAAGCAATGTCACATTGAAAATGTTTCTGGAAAAGACCAGCAGATGTGGTGGAATGCTTTTGAACTTTTTCTCTTCCCTTCAATTACGACTTCACTAGTTTTCGTTTGGAAAACGAGAAATTTGTTTTCTTTTGCGGATCTTTGCAGCCTAGCCTCCCTGCATCCACCCTCCTTCCGGGATGATGTCACAACTAGGGGTGACCCGTATTCTGTAAGTCCTCACCTCCAGAGCGACACCAACAACTTACAGTGAGACTGGAGAAGCACTAGTAAGTGACGCCTTACATACAGTGCGTTCAATAATGATACAGCCACCTAAAATTTGTTCGAAAATTCAAAGTTCATAGAGTTTCTGAAAAACTGTCCAGATAGAAAATGTGACAAATTTCATGGCGAGTTCAGATATCAACACAAAAATCCATGTTGAAAAACTAAAAAATTTTGTGCTCATTTTTTCAGAAGAGGTCGATTTTCCTATGTTCAAAAATGATACAGCCACCCCGTGTTTCTTCGTTGAAATTCATTTTTGCTTCATGAAACTGATTCGCAGTTATCAGGCTTTCACCTTAATGTTCCCACAAGATAAAAAGACAGTTTAGTTTTTGAAAAAGGTAAACTGTAGCAAAAAAGGACCAGGAATTTCACGAGTATGTGTCCTCATATTGCGCGAAAAATTAAGTCAAAGCTCCAATACGGTTAACAATCTTTTCTGGAATCCTGTAGGTTATGGAACAACGAAGAGCTCTGGATGTTCATCATTGCTTTTTGGTCAATTTAAACTTCGCATTTTGGGAAACATTTCAATTTCATCGAACAGTGCCCGGAATTCCAGTCTTCTTTCAGAATTAAACTTTCAATGGATATTGTTTGGGATGTGTTGAAGAGATTTCCGAGGTCATTCTTCAATGGAGAATTGAAGAAACCTTGTTTGTGAAAAGAAATTCTCTCGAAAACTGAGACATTTTTTGCTCGAAAGTGTAGCCACGTCCACTGGAGCAAGATCCGTTCTTTTCTGTTATGTCTTACTTTCTGTTTACTTTCTTTCGAGTTTTTCCTTCCTCATTAAGGGTTTTCCTTTCATTAGACTATGAAGCGAAAAACATTGAGAGAAACGCAGACAGAAAGTAAGACATAACAGACAAAAGAACTGATCTTGCTCCAGTGGACGTGGCTACACTTTCGAGCAAAAAATGTCTCAGTTTTCGAGAGAATTTCTTTTCACAAACAAGGTTTCTTTAATTCTCCATTGAAGAATGACCTCGGAAATCTTCAACACATCCCAAACAATATCCATTGAAAGTTTAATTCTGAAAGAAGACTGGAATTCCGGGCACTGTTCGATGAAATTGAAATGTTTCCCCAAAATGCGAAGTTTAAATTGACCAAAAAGCAATGATGAACATCCAGAGCTCTTCGTTGTTCCATAACCTACAGGATTCCAGAAAAGATTGTTAACCGTATTGGAGCTTTGACTCAATTTTTGCGCAATATGACTGCTTGACGATTCCTGGTCCTTTTTTGCTACAGTTTACCTTTTTTCAAAACTAAACTGTCTTTTTTATCTTGTGGGAACATTAAGGTGAAAGCCTGATAACTGCGAATCAGTTTCATGAAGCAAAAATGAATTTCAACGAAGAAACACGGGGTGGCTGTATCATTTTTGAACATAGGAAAATCGACCTCTTCTGAAAAAATAAGCACAAAATTTTTTAGTGTTTTCGACATGGATTTTTGTGTTGATATCTGAACTCGCCATGAAATTTGTCACATTTTCTATCTGGACAGTTTTTCAGAAACTCTATGAACTTTAAGTTTTCGAACAAATTTTAGGTGGCTGTATCATTATTGAACGCAGTGTAGAATGTCCTAAAGTTGCAGAAAAATTTGAATTATTACTATTTTTGCTGCATAGTTTGAACTATTAAACTTTTCAAGAGTTAAACATCCTCAAAAATCCCAGAAATTTCTACTGGGTCGTGTTTTCGAAGCGCATCGTAGAAGTTCATTAATATTAGCTCAGAATCCAGATCAGAATTTTGCGCCGTTAGCTAACAACTTCTCGAGTTTCTACTGATTATTTTTGGCAACTACAGCCTCAATGCCCGTAATAAAACCCACAAATAGAACTTGTACATTTACACTATGGGGCTTACACATAGACAAAAAGATAGCTTGTTCTGAACTAGTTTGTGTTTCGTTTTCTGCAGTCGACCAGCTCCTTGCCCGTAACACGAATGTTCGGTGCCCCAGATTTATACTCAGCGAAGCGTTCCTCAGCTGTTCGGGGTCCCACCACCACACCTATCCCTTTCCATTATGATAGTTGCCAAGCAGCTTCAGCAGCATTCGGACTTGAAATTACTTTCACCTATGTAGCATCAGCACCCTT